ACTCTGGAGGGGCGAACAACAACAACAGCATCCTCCAGTGTCCAACTTAGGTCACTACCCTTTTCCACAAATCTCCGTCCCTATTGATCTGCCACTCCATGCGCGCCCATCTCACCGATATTGTCAAAACCCAGGTGAAGCAAACTAATTCGGGCCTAGCCATCATTCTGGGTGGATTAACCACAGAATTCCATTCACTAAATATTGGTGTTAACATGGTGTTTAAAGTTAAATTGCGAGCTGCATGGGAGCATTGGATGACAGAAGGTGAACACACATTCACCAAGACAGGGAGGCAACGCCGGGCGAGTTACGCCACTATCTGCCAATGGGTCGTGGATGTCTGGTCTAAGGTATCAGTCTCAAATGTTGAATCATCACTGAACAGCTAATTAACAGCAATGACACTGACTAGGATATTGACGAGAGGGATCCAGGCATGCTTGATTGTTTCGCTTAATGCGCCTTATAACCCAGTGCGCCTTATGTATGAAAATATTCCCGTTCATTGATATTGCGCCTTATAATGCGGTGCGCCTTATGGTCCGAAAAATACGGTATAACTAATCGTGATTGATAATGATCACAATTAATCATGAAAGATCATCAACATTGAGAGTATTCAACATTCCCAAGTATGATAAAATCTTTTCATGTGGTATATTGCTGGAACAGAAAGACAAATGAGAGCAGGTAGATGTATTTGTTTTTGTGACCAATCTAAAATCTGAAATATTGTTGGTGGATATGAGTTATTACTGTACATCTTGATGTTAACTTGTAGAGCGGTTGCTTTAAAAACTTTAGTGATTGTCATAACAAAATGAATCCGTTCGTGCTAAATACGCATGGGCAGAATGACAGATTATACCAATTAATCTTCACCGATTAATAAACACATAACAAACATTAATGAAGGTTCAGATACGTTGCATTTAAGAAGAAGTACCATCTTCTCTGGTGTTAGGGTTGTTTTGGGAATATGCTTTGGCTGTTTTGTTAGACCTAAAGGAGGAAAACATTGACTGCTCATTGGTGATTGGTTGTTTGTGCCTTTGTGTTTTAACAACCTCAGATCGAGACATCCGGCCAGATTTCAGTCCTGCGACTTTCCAATCTGTCATCCTCGGACCACAACAGCAGGATCAGCTGCATAGCAGAGAACATAGTGGGAGACAGAGAATCCTCTCTGCTGCTCAACATACTGTGTAGGTTTTACTGTCACAGATAAAGGGTGTGCTCTTTAAACAGTTCACGCTGGTTATCACATTTTCATGCTTACGTTTTTTTTTTCGCCTCAGTTCCTCCTAAAATCACCAAGTTGAGCGATGCCATCTCGGACCATCACTGGTGCATCCCCTTCAGCGTGTCAGGTAAGAGAGGCATCAAGATGAAACCCCAATGTCACAACATGCCGTTAATTTCTACTAATTGGACAGCTTGAAGTGTGTCACAGCGTGTATTGAAATACAGCAATTATAGGCCATAAGATAAACCCTATTATTGTTTCATCTCGCTCCGACGTCTGGGAACTACACAATCTTAACTTAATAAAAAACAAGTTACGTTAAATAATACAGAAAAAAATCAAAAGGCATTTTATGCCGAACTAGTTTCTTCAGGGCGTAATAAGATTTTGGTTCGCGAGCAGTGGCACGGTTCGACACGTGATCGTGCTAGACCAATCGAGTAGCTGAATGATGTCAACACTCCGGCAACATGGCTGCCTCCGTGGTTTTACTTAACGTTACCGATAGAGAGGAATTCTCCCAAAAGTCTTCTAAAGTGGGCCAAATGGATTCTGTGACAGTGCTTTATACATAGCCACCTGCATGAAGAACAATGAGGCAAATAGACGATAAGGTGAACTTTCTTTGTGAAGTCATTTTAATCAATAAAAGAAGTAATCAATGACAAGGACCATTTGTTTATTCATTCGTTCATTTATTTGCATCTAACTAAATAAAACAACACTGATCAACCATAAAAACATTCTTTATTAAAACATATATAAAACAATACAAAACAGGATAAGAAAATGGATGGTAATGTTAACAATGCAACCACTGCAATACAACTCTGTGGCAATAGGCTATACATGACATGTTAGTCTTCACTGTCAGTGTCAGGGCAGTCGTCATCCTCCTTCTCCTCAATTTCCTTTGTGTTTGCACAGTTGCAACACCTACACAGGTCTGTACAACAGAGTCCTGCAGAGACACAGGAACACCTACCTGTCTCACAGGCACTCTCCTTGCAGCTGCAGTGTATGACATGCAAAACACTATCAGGGGCTGGATTTTTTGTCATCCATGTGACATGTAGGTTTCCATCTTCGAGGTGCCAACCATTTCCAGCAGGTGATGGAGCACCTATATTTTGTTTGAAACAGGACCTCATGACTGCATAACACATAGGGACTGATTGATCCCTATGTGTATGTACACGCTGAGGTCTTTGCCCACTCCTGTAAGGTATATTTGTCCTTTTTCTTGCATATTATGCACAGGGCTGGAAGGATGGGGCCAGAGCTTGCGATGAGCAGGCCTGACCTGGGTCTAAGTTTCTTTGTCGGACTTGGTGTCGTCCTGCTCGATGTTGATGGGATGGCCTCACTTCTTGAGCGGTCTTCCGTATCCTCTCCTCTCTCTCTCTCTCACGCGCGAGACGCCTTTTCACTTTTGCAATTGCACTCTTGTCAATAAACCTCCAGTAGCATGTGGGATGGAAAGCAGTGTTCTCGGGAATGCTTTCAAACTCCAAATCCAGGCAGTGTTTGTAGTTTTCAGCTACTGTAGTGTCTGCTTTTTTGATCCCAAGTCAAAGACAGGAACGTCGAGGCAGAGTTCTGCGTTCAAACTGTGTTTTTATTACAAAGAGAAGCAAGAACAAGCAAGACAGTATGCAGAGTACATTCAAACAAAACAATTATGCATAAAAACGAACTTACAGAGACTTTTCTCAGGAGTCAGTGCCAATCTAGTAGCCTGCCGATTACCCAGGACCTATGCCAGGAGTGCTGACTCACTAATTCAGAGGTCCCAAGACCTCTGAATTTATACAGACATACAAACAAGTATGATGAGGGAATGGGTTTTCCCTCAATGAACTTCCTCTGCAGGTGTGATACCATGGCAACCATAGAGCGTCTCCCTCTTCTGCTGCACATGTTCCAGGGGTCACATGCAGTTTAAGACAAGCACTGGATGTATATTATCAGAAACAGTATTGTTACCTGTTGAATTATAGCAGAACAGTAATATTCCTCCACTATAAATCGACACTCACCCCTCAACCCGAGCCACCGTTGTAGACCCTTCTTGTACGTATTCCACCGTGCGAGTGTGAAATACTAAATTTTTTCGTGCCTCACAGATGCTATGTGCATACAGCACTGGTTATATCCTGAAGATTTTGTTATTTTACTAATTTTTGGTGAGTTTACCTCTTCTTTGGTACTGCTAGATGAAACTCCGCAGGCAGCCATCTTGCTTTTCTGTTTACCAAAAGCTGCTACCCTATTGGTGTAGTCTGGTCACGTGTCGACCATGCCACCTCTCGCGCACCAAAATCTTATTGCGCCCTTTAGACGCTTTTTCTGTATAAAATGCCTCGTTATAAAAAATGGGCAGGATTTTTTGCGACAAACGTTTTGCTTTAAGCTTAACATAACTCCTTTTTTATGAACTAAAGATTGTGTAGTTCCCAGAGGTCGGAGCGGAATTCAATTTCTGAAAGACTTTTCGTGGTTCACCTTACGGCCTATTAGCAAAGAAACAAAGCAAGGCAACTGACGGTGAATGCGACCTTAATGAGAAACGCCCATTTCTTTTGTCTCGTGTCTTCCAGGAAATCCTCAGCCAGAACTGCAGTGGTATCGGAATGATGTGGAAGTGACCGAGGGCCAGTACATTATGACCATGATCCATGACATCACAGAGAGGGAGTACCACGGCTGTCTGCAGCTGGACAGTCCCACACACATTAACAACGGCAGGTACAGGCTGGTGGCTAAAAATAGATATGGCACTGACAGGAAGGAGGTGGACGCTCACTTCATGGTGGAGCCCTGGGGTAAAGGTGAGTTCTAACACAATTTCACACAAAATACATTTCCATACATTATAGCACATGTGTATACATGTATTTCTATCTGCTAGAAATGTTAAGACCAGACACTAAATGTAGGGCTTATTTAACGTTTTCTTTGTTTTTTCTAATCATTCTTCATTCTACAACATGTGTGTACATTATGCATAATCCATAGTCCAAAGAATAGTTACATTGAAAGCAACTGGACAAAGTGGGTTTTTTTTAAGACGTTTCACCTCTCGTCCAAGAGGCTTCTTCAGTTCTGACTGACCACTGGGAAATTCCACTTTGTCCAGTTGCTTTTGATGTAACAATTTTTTGGATTAAATGACCTGGAGGACTGAGAACCTACACAGACATAATCCATAGTAGTCTTAAATTATATAGTCATGTATATAACATGTAATATGTATATATATAGTGTTTTGTGTAGAATGATGATGCTTTAAATCAGTGGATTAAAGTTAAGTCAAAATTTAAGCTGTTACAATTTAGACTCAACCAAAAAACATTCTCGGTGTACTGAAAGGATACATAGACTCTAACCAGTTATCCACAGAAAATGTTTCCAGAGTCCAGAAATGAGTGAGAACTATTATCAAAAAGACTCAAAACTCAAAACATCCCACAATAAATACTTCTAAGAAATACACTCTCTCTAGAGCAGGGGTGTCAAACTAATTTTTGTTCACAGGCCACATACAACTGAATTCCATGTCAAGTTAAAAGTTTTTAATTTTATACGATGATTTTTCTTCTCCACTCAGAGCAGAAGTTTTCCTGCTTAAACTGTTTAAAAGCCTCTTGCTTTTTGCAAGGTTATTGGAAATACCTCAAAACAACAAAATTACTTCCGTTTTCACCCAGTGTACACAAACAGTAATACAGTTTTTCTTTGTTTGTGATCATAAGGTTTCGGAACTGAGCCCTACTACTACGGTGAGTGAGATAAACAACAACTGATCATTTGGAATCAAATAGACACAGATGTTGACCTGTGTCACTTCTGTGTGGTACAGAAGTGCAATGCTGTGACCAGTGTGTTTTTGCAGAAAAAAAGAGTGATTTTCTTGTGTAAAACCTAACTATTTCTTGTTTCTTTCTCCAACATCTCCCCCTGCCTGCAGATGTGAGTACAGGTACAACCTTTATTTGCCTTTTATACTCACTGCCAGATTATTTCTTTGAACACTGGTTTTGTGTCAGCACTTAGTTGACATATTTTACACAAAAGTGTGCCGAACTTTAAATGATTTTTCTCCTTGGTATTATTACTCCATCTCTGTTTGGCTTACACTGTTAGACAGTAAGGATATGGATATAGATCAGGGGTTCATTTGGTACCAGCCACAGTGGGACACAGTGAAAAAATGTCCTTCAGTTTTACTAATTTACTTCATTCAAAAATAATCCAGTCATATCCCTTTACTTTTTTCATTCAAAGATAATCTGACAATGTTTCAAAACAACAAAAGCAACAATGGCGTGGTATTACCGATCTGCAGTAAAGGCTGATACAGGCTGACCGGACCTTGGTACAAAAACAGTTGACGACAGCTGTGATAGATGATTAAGTATTAAAGACCACTGGGCTTTGAATTGTATGTAAACAACACACCATATCTAATCAATTCATCAGTTTGTTTGTTCTGCTCAGTATTTCTCTATAAAACACATTGTGTTATGCTACATATAATTTTAATCTGACCTTATCAAATCATACTTCACTGGTGTAGTGTCTCTTTTCCTCTGATAATCTCCACTCTGTCTCTGTTTCCTGTGTAGATGGTCCTCCAAGTGAACCACCTGAGGACAGAGTTGCAGTAAGTCGTGCTTCACCCTTATTTCAAATCAACTGTAATGGTAATTGAATGTGTGAAAAAGCAGCCTGAGGAGGTTGTTCTTTTTTTTATTTTAACCTGTGCTTCCTGTTTACATCCTGCAGGTGTACGTCGTGGTCGGTATCGCTGCTGTAGCCTTTACAGGTTTCCTCCTGATGTTAGTTATTCTCAAGTTCGGAGGGAACTCCAAGTTTAACATCAAAGGTAAGAATGGGAACTTTGACATTAAACCTGCAGAACCACCATTTGTCCCATTTTATTTTTACTTGTACTTTAAAGTCTATATGAAGCGGAATATGGAAAGGCAGTAATTAAGGCGCCATACTAATGTGATTTATACCAAGGAACTCATGCTCCTCTGTTAGCTCACTTAGCATTATTTGCATGTACCTTCTACCTCACCTCTGCTCTCTTGCTTTGGGAAAACTGAGTGATGGACAATTTACATGAACTTTAAATGTTGTTTGTTGTATATTTGATTTGAAGTTCAACATGGAAGGATTCATGGATATTAGGAAAATAAAATATGTACCCTTTTTCATCTACTGGAGAAAAGTTAAAACGTGTAATAAGCAAAATCATAGGAAGCCTTAAGATGCTGCACATTACACAGATCTTCACAGGTACAATAACCTGTCGATGATAATCATTTTTCAAATAAATAACACAGATTATGCTGATTTTTACATTTTTATGTGAAATATATGTAAAATATAAATAAAAATTTTACTAAAGGGCAAATGTGGAACAAAGGGCAAATGTGGAACAAAAGTGTCAAATATACGACTCACTGACCAAAACTGGCCCGGTGGAGGGTTTCAATATGGCCCACTTAACATTTTTCAGAGAAAAAAAAACATTTTGAAAGAGAAAAAATGCACCAAAATGTTATGTTAGTAATGTTTTGTCAAATTATATTTCATTAAATATGTTTTTTATATTTATTTGCATGAAAACAAAGGGGGAAAACATGAACTTAGTGTTATTCATAGATAATGATGTTATGATTGTACTGGTCCGGCCCACTTGACATCTGTCAGGCTGTATGTGGCCCCTGAACCAAATTAGTTTGCTCTGCTCTAAAACAAGCAAATATTGCCCTGCATGTCATATAATCACTTTAAATACGTTCATAATCACATATCCATGAATCCATCATGTTCCACAGATACACACATATAATCACACACAAATTGTGTTTTTGTGTCTTGAGAGGATTTAGATAAACATGAAAACACTCTACTTTTAGACTCTTTTGAGAAGAGATTTTGATCTTATCTCTAAAATCCGTATCACAAAGATAGTTAATCTTAATCCTTATTCTAACTCCAAGCAGACCCTTATTCTAATCCTAACTCCAAACTAGATATTGAATCTCCAAATTGTCTCTCACTCAGCTTGGGAGTATCCCAACAAGTACTGGTACACCAACATCACACACACACACAGAGATACATACACAAACACAAGATCTTCTGTTTACCTGTTCTAACTCTGGCATCAGACTGACCTAGTAGAAACAGCTTTGCCTCTTTGACTTAGTCGTCTTTTCTCGGTGAACTACCACTCACCCACTCACATTTGAATCTATTTCTCTTTTTCTTTATCAATCATTTTAATGATTTTCAATGGTCACATTCAGCTGGCAGCTGGAGAACTGTGAGACTTTCCTCTCATTTCCTGCATTGTCCTTTTACATTGAGACAATGATGCATGTGAAAGAAATTTAGCAGAGGAGATGAGTAGATAAAATATAAATTAATTACAGAGGGAACAGGATGTACTGATAGTCTTTAACAAGTCTGTGGCACTTAGTGGGATGTGTGTGCCTGTGAGAGGAGAGGAAAATGGTGCACCTGATAATTACACCATGATTTTAGTATGTGACACGGAACACTTTGTGTCACAGAATAAGTGCTTCATTTTACGTGAATGTGTTTGCAGGTGTAACCATCAACTTTTTCGTGTGTCGTGCTACATGTCACCCCTCAGTGATGTTGAATGTAAAAGGCTCACTGCATAATCAGAACACATCACTGCTGCAACCATAATGTTATGTTGATTAGTTATAATTTAGTTATGAGTTATTAGTTATTTATTTAGTTATAACACAATAGGGAAGACCAGATTTTGGACAGAGGAGCAAATTGCATTCTGTGAGCACGCAACAGTGAACTCAGAGTAAAACAACAGAATACATGGCTCAGCACTGCTGTGTTTGGTTGGAGCAGAGTTGTATCAAAGCCAGGGAGCGAAGACAAGAACAGCTTCCTTTTGTCCAGGTCGAATAGACATTCTGTGGCCAGAACCGCACAAAATGTCATTGATCGGAACAGTCACCTCCTCTCCCCACTCTGTGTCACCGTCATGCTTGAATCTCTGCTACTATTTTCTCGACAAGCTTCTCATATGATCAAACCTATTGTAGCCTTCACCAGCTTTGAAAGAACTGTGCATTTTACCTGGAAACCTCATTCACAATTTGAAGTGTAGTTGGCATGTCTACGGTCCAGCACTCTAAACTGCGTGCAGACGTATCCTGTGTCATCAGACAGTGAATTCAGGGAGAAAGCTGTCACGAGTGTTGGCGTATACTCTGAATTACATTTGGAATAAATGTAAAGAAGTGAGGCATCCTTAATTGATAAATACTTTTCACTTTACCAGAGAGGACAGGCTCTGTTTACATCTAATGTAGAGGATGTTCTCAGCTCAGATTTGATTTAGTAGAAAATTTGCAAGAACAAATGCAGACATAAAGATTGAATCTGTGAACATTTGATGTGTGTGGGTCTGTAAGTGAGTTTCTGTATGTGTTGTGGACACTTGAGGTGCCATATTTTTTGCAGTGATTGATTTATTGCCCCTCTGAGAGGGTGACTTGATGGAGTAGCTACAGTACTATATACAATGTCTGTGTGTGTATGGGTGTGGTGTCTTCTATCTTCAGACGTGAATGTCTTTTCTCCACAGGAAATGATGTATCGTATTGCTCTCAGTCCCCCCTATATCTTTACCTACTTCCAGTTGTGTATGTTTGTTTTGTTTCAGCACATGTCTGCACTTGTGTCTGAGGAAGGATCATAATACATTTTCGTCCATCTGAATCCCCCTCCCGTGTTTCTCCATCCCACTGACAGTCTCTCTCTCTCTCTCTCTCCCTCTCTCTCTCTCCATGCTCCACATAAGTCCAGATGTATGTGCCCTGCAGCATGTTGACATGAGGGGGGAGGGTTGTGTTGAGAGACACTGAGAGATGGTGGTGTAGGTGCAATGGGTCGAGTACTGCTTAGAAGCACTTGGTGTTATTAACCAGTCTCAAATTAATAACACAACCAGTCTCGTTAAAATTATCTTTAATTATTATTTTAACCTACTAATATAGCAATAATGTATTACTTGGAGTATTACAAATATACTAAAATCAATAGTATTCAATAACAATTAAATATCTGAAGGATTTTGAGTTCTTGGCAAATTGGGTGGCTTCAATGAACAAAGTAACAACACAGACAAATACAGTTTACAAAAATAATCAAATTTATTTATACAACACTGTCAAGTTAATGACGGTGATTGAACTCATGAACAATGATCATAACAACAAAACAAGGCATAAGTGTGTGTGTAGGTGTGTGTGTGTGTACTTGTGTGCGTGTGTACACGAGTGGTCGTGTAAGAGCGCAGTGGAAGAAGAACTGCGAGGTAGAAGGAACGGCAACAGGAAACACATGAGGCGTGTATGCGCTCACGGAGGTGTGAAAGGGTGTTGTGTACGCGCACCAAGATGCGCTCAGGTACAATGAAACAGTGCTTGTGATGTTATCAAAGTATATGGGGGAAGGGAGGCGTACCGCGTGGTCTACTCCAGACAAAGGACTTTGTCGGAGTTTTCCTGATCCCAATACTGATAACGTTACAAGTTAACACTGAAATACTGACGGTGTACAAGAGTATAACACCGAGTCAGGAGGTTAGAAAAGAAGTGCATGCAACAGCCTAGCTATAAAAGCAGCACAGATTTCAGACAACAAAATTCAATATGCGTACTTAAACTGTCCCTAAGTTTAAATAGCACTTAACAATACTACAGATTAACTAACGTGCCCAAATGCCAGCCTTACTGTAGTGAACGTCTGCTCGTATTGAGAGGGTAGTGGAAAGTCCGCACTTCTTGGGTCCTTGCCAGAGTTGGGGACGTCCGTCTGGTTCCACTGTGTGCAGAGAGTCCTCTTGGTTCCGAAAGTCCTCTTTGGGAGGAAAAGTCTCTGACTGTCGATGTGCCGGTTCATACGATTACTGTTAGAAGGAATTTTGTCGCTTCTAAACTTTTCAATAACTGCTTTGGTCGCAGCGCTACGAAAAAGACGCTACTAGAGCATTTATCACCGTGGGCAATGGTGTTTACAAAAGCGCGTTGGTTCTTAGTCTTCTGAGACGAGCAGGTTTCTCTTTTCATTACGGGTCCTACTCAGCGAAAGTCCTGAACAGGGAGAATGAAATTGGGGCTGACCCCCAATTTAAAGGTTGCGGAGGTTACTGATCGTGACGTATGTGGAGTTACCGGAAGCAGTGGAATTATGGGAGTTAGAGTCCTTAAAATGACTGCGGTAGTACCTACAGTGGCGTTACCATAGACTGCAGAGTCAGATAGAGTTCAGGTTGCTGTAACTAAAACAACAGCAACAGCAGCAGCAGTAGTAATACTGCACACAACCACAGTGTTTATTTGAACATCAACCTCTACAGTATGCTGTGACTCAAAAACCAGTGGTTGAACATCAGCTGCAGTTTTAAACTTCCTGAAAAACAATTCTGAGGTTCAAGCTTTCGGTATTCGTCATTGTATTTGCAAACAGCAAATACAATGCTACTTTGTGGCACTGTAAAGTAGAAGTAGAACAGAAAACAGATGTGAATGGTGTGGTCTGGTAGAAATGTAAGAATATAATATATAAATAAATTAATATATATGCACATACACTATATTACCAAAAGTATTCGCTCACCTGCCTTGACTCATACTATGAACTGAAGTGCCATCCCATTGCTAACCCAGAGTTCAATATGATGTCGGTCCACCTTTTGCAGCTATTACAGCTTCAACTCTTCTGGGAAGACTGTCCACAAGGTTGAGGAGAGTGTTTATAGGAATTTTTGACCATTCTTCCAAAAGCGCATTGGTGAGGTCACACACTGATGTT